AACCCAGGTTGAACCCAGGTTGAACCCAGGTTCGGGCCATCAGATGTGCCGGTACAGAGGCACGGTTTTCACAACCCAAACACCAAGAAGGTGGATCGCATTTGTTCGCGCAACGCGGAAAAAATTGAACCCAGGTTCTCGATGTTGTTGTTCCCCCCCCCCCCCCCCCCCCCCCCCCCCCCCCCGAGGGCCGGGAGTTCGAACCTGGGTTGAACCCAGGTTCGAACCCCCCCCCCCCGAACCTTGCTCACAAGTGGGGCGCGATTGCAGAGTGGTCTTGGTTAAGTGTGCCCCGGTTTCGGCACTTATGTGTCCAATTCCCATTGGCGTTCGATCAAAGGTCTTTTCAAGAAAGGCTTCCAACACCAGGATGTCAGCCAATTGGTGCGTGAAACAGCCACCCTGCAGGACTCTGGTGCGCGGAGGACAGCCAAAGCATGCTTTCAAATCCAAAGTCACTTGCGCACAGTGCCAAAAGGTTTGAAAGTCCGAGCAAGATGATGAAGGAATCCAATTCCACCGGCTCACGTTGGACTTGATGCAGCAGTGGCAAGATAAGGAAGGCATGCCGCATGTGTTGTGTTCTAAAAGCAGTGTTGGTGCTTGGTTAAAACAGTGCAGTAGTAACGCAAACACCTTTCTCAAGTACGAAACTGCGGGCCGCATCATGGCAGACTGTCGGACTTCAGTCATTAAAAAATTAATTTCTTGCATTGCTGAATCGTGTGAGTTGAGAACTTTGCTCAATAACTTGTCATTTTCTTTGCGATTGGCCGTTTTCAAATGATTCCTTTACTTTGTTTAAAAATATACGGCGATTAAGAGGTAAATTTGGCTAATCTCAAAAAATCACAAACAAGCAAGTTTCTAACTTTCGGATCCTCTTGTCAAGAAAAAAACAAAAAACAATATCGGTATAAATTCTGTTGATTGTCGATTATTGGTTGTTCCCACAGGTTTGTTTAGTCGTTATGCCAAAGTACAAATTGGAGGATGCCAAGAGCAAGAAAAGTGACATGGTGCAGCAGTTGGACTTGGCACTTTGTTCTTTGTATGAAGATGGTAAAGCTGCTTTTCGCTTTGGGAAACCCGCAGTGGTTCTTTTCCATGCATAAAAAATTGTTCTACAAGTACACTGTAATGTATGTGCTTGGGCCGTGTCGTGGATGAACATCCACATTTTGCACAGTAGCTGCAGCAAGCAGGCTTTCTTTTACAATTCCGTGTCAGGCAGCTTGAATCTGCACCCATTGCAAGGGGCCCAAGACTCTCAAAAGCCAGGCGTCCACGGCGGGCAGGCGAACCAAGGAGTTTCGCAAAAAAAGCGTACTCCTTCGCCTTGATCCTGCAACACGTTCATGGTTTGAGAAGCCGATTGTTTTCTGTGTTTGTGGATTTTGGACATGTGCTTTGACGGATAGGAAAAAGTGCGGAATTTTAATACCCCAGTTTACGGCTGCGGGATGATTTGGGACGCTGTGTTATTGCGATAGGTCAATGTCGTAAGCACTTGGATGGCGCTTTGCAGCGAGATCAACTTGGAAAGCAGTTAGATGTCTTTATTTTGATGCAGTCAGAAGTCAGATGTTTTTATTTCGGTGCAAGCAGAAGCTGCGGAATGCCAAGACGTGAGTGCCTGAAGCTTTCGGGTTTAGGGTTTAGGGTTTTGGTTTAGGGTTGCCAGTGAAGGGCCTCTAAGGGCCTCTAAGGGTCTCTGAGGGCAGGCAGTGAAGGGCAGTGAAGGGCAGTGAAGGGCCTCTGAGACCCTTTATGAAGGGCCTCTAAGGGTCTTTGGGCTGAGGGCAGGGAAGAGTGAAGGGCCTTTAAGGGCTTTTAAGGGTCTCTCGGCTGAGGCCAGTGAAGGGCAGTGAAGGGCCTCTAAGGGTCTCTGGGCTGAGGGCAGTGAAGGGCAGGGAAGGGCAGTGAAGGGCCTCTAAGGGCTTTTAGGGGCCAGTGAAGGGCAGTGAAGGGCCTCTAAGGGTCTCTGGTGAGGGCAGTGAGGGGCAGTGAAGGGCAGTGAAGGGCCTCTAAGGGTCTCTGGGCTGAGGGCAGTGAAGGGCAGGGAAGGGCAGTTAAGGGCCTCTAAGGGCTTTCAAGGGTCTCTAGGGGGCAGTGAAAGGCAGTGAAGGGCCTCTAAGGGTCTCTGGGCTGAGGGCAGTGAAGGGCAGGGAAGGGCAGTGAAGGGCCTCTAAGGGCTTTTAAGGGTCTCTAGGCTGAGGGAAGTGAAGGGCAGTGAAGGGCCTCTAAGAATCTCTGGGCTGAGGGCAGTGAAGGGCAGTGAAGGGCCAAAAAGGGCCTCTAAGGGCCTCGAAGGGTCTTTGGGCTGAGGGCAGTGAAGGGCAGTGAAGGGCAGTGAAGGGCCTCTAAGGGCTCTAAGGGCGGGCAGTCAAGGGCAGTGAAAGGCCTCTAAGGGTCTTTGGGCTGAGGGCAGTGAAGGGCAGTGAAGGGCCTCTAAGGGCCTCTAAGGATCTCTGGGCTGGCAGTGAAGGGCAGTGAAGGGCTTCTAAGGGTCTCTGGGCTGGTTTAGGGTTTGGGTTAAGGGTTTTGGGTTAAGGGTTTTGGATTAAGGGTTTTGGGTTTAGGGTTTGGGGTTTAGGGTTAAAGGTTTGGGGTTTAGGGTTTAAGGCAAGGCCAGTGCAGGCCCCGGCAAACGCTCACCTGCGCAAGCAAGCGTCTCGCAAAGGCAGGAGCTGCGGCCACTCACCTGTGCAGGCAAGCGCCGCCACCAGCAGAACCGCGCGTTATTCTCATTGTCTCTCTAAGCATCTTATCCGCGTTCCTGGACGTCTGCTTTCGAGAAAAATATGCCGCCTTCTTTGTTTCAGCTTCAGCGTGTGAGTTTTTTTCAAGCCTTGCACCCTTCTAAGGCGCACACTGCATGCGGTGGGATGTGGATTTGAGCTTTTCCAGTTTGCTTCAGGCCGCCAAAGTGGGGGTGCCTGGGTTAAAGTTCCCAGCCTGCTTCGCTCAACCAAAATCCTTGAGCTATGATGCCATTCAAGCGAGCGAAGGCTCCAAAGCCAGAACGCTTCGGAAAGAAAGCCCTGAAGCCAAAACTTTGGTTGCTCGAAGCGCTAAGCGAGGGCGATGCGAAATGTGGACGGCCTCCGAGCTGGCAGGATGTGGATGGTTGCAAAACCCGATTCTGCAATTTGACATGCCTTTCCGCGAGTCGCCGCTTTCAGAATACAGCTTGGACCATGCGCTGTCTGTCCGAGTGCGAGTGTTCCGCGTCTGCGCGCATGGTGGTGAAGAAATTAACATCGCCCATTCCCTTCGCTTGTGCTCGGAGGGAGTGGAGAGTGGAGCTAGTGTAGGCACTCGTGACTTGCAAAGCTGGATACAACAGTGTATGCTCGCGGCTTCATTAGTTCTCGGGCTCTCGAGATGCCATGTGTTTTCTACGATGCTGGAGTGAGAGCCACGTTGCACATGTGGGCCAACATGAGTGTGCTAGTAGAGAAAGGGCGGGGCAAATTTGAAGGTGCCCACGTGGGGTGGATCGGATTCCGGTTTGTCCGTGTGCCCATGTTCTGCGTCCGCGCCCATGCACATGGTGTTTTGGGTCTGTCCGAGTGCTCGTGTTCTGCGTCATGGTTTTGTGCTTGTGCCATCGTCTCCTATTTCCTTGGCAGGTGCTTCATGGAATCTCAGCTGCCGATGCATAAGAGCTGCTGTTTCGATTGAGAGTCGTCCTGTGTAGCTGATTTCAGGTTGTTTTCATAGCCGTTGATTTGTCATATGGTTTTCACCTTTTCGAGTTGAGAGCCGGAGCAGACACAGACTGGGCAGGCTAGTGGCAGGCCGGCTCGTATTCATGCATCATTCTTGAATTTTCAGACTTGTGCCTGGTTGAAGATTTGAGATCTGTTTTTCAATGTTTCTTTGAAACTAATTGAGTGATACTTGGGCGGTGCTGACGGCCACTTTCTCAGTGAGCTGACGTGGAAATCGAACAACCAGGTATATTTGTAACACCGGTGTTGCTTCTTTTGCAAGTTCAATGGTGTAAAGCAGAATTGAGCGATGTTTTTTGACGTACGTGTGGTGGCAGCAGCTGCTTCCTGCCTTTAACCCGTGATCGCCGCGACCGGCAGCATATTGCATGTAACGCTGCAAGTTATGTTGCGCACAGATGCTGAATACCTGGGCGCGCGCTGGGAGGACAGCCTCGTTGCCTAGATGTATGAAAGTCCGAGTGGTTGCGGGTCTTAAGCCCTTGAAGTTGTACAGCTCTCAGCCGACTGATTGACGCAGACAAAAGTGCTCTCGAACAGAAAGCGCCTACGACGAAAAGCTCCACCCAACAACATTACAAGTAGTACGGAAGCAAAGCAGCCAATATGACCAGGTTTGCATGGATGCAATATCGCTAATACCGTACTTCAAAGCCACATGGTAACTCAATGTCACAATGCAACCCCTGGCATTTCAGCGACATGACAGGAGTTCCTTTTCACTTCAGCAAATGATTAAGTTGATTGTCGTACCAGCCGAAACTATTGCTCTGCAACAAAAATACATGTGCGAGCATGTTGAATGCTCGGCTTGTTTTTGCCTTACTCGGCGCCAAGAAAGTCAAAACCACACAGCAGGTTTGTTAGGTCAGATCTCCCGACATGCGTTCGGCCTGCACAAGGATCACTGAATGCAAGCCCCGCTCCGAAAACCAAGCGAGGTCAACGAGTGAGACAATGATCAACAACAGTGGAACAGCCGTCCGACAGCCTAAACATGAGCGCCAAAACTTTTTTGTTTTGGCAACATTTCCCTTTTTGACCAGACGAACATACGATTTGCCTGCCTACGTTGGAGTTCATGCGTGGCTTATTGTTTAACAGTGGGAGCGCATGTAATATGAGGGTACAGGTTTTCCCAAGATAGAGTATCCAACACGGTCCGCGCGTTGGAGATTCTGACTGACCCGCATACATGTTGATACACGTTGCTTGAGCTTTTTGGCCCGGAACATCGATCTTCTTTGACCGTTAGCTTCACCAATGGCGTTGTTGGTGTGGATTGTTGCTGGCTTAAGCACAGTTCACACAACATCGGCTGAGACGAGGTATCCACGATACGGTTGTGGCAAAGGGTTGGATTCTTTCCCATTCTGTGATAGCAAGTTGCCTGTAAACAAGCGTGTCGATGACTTGATCAAGCGGCTAAAGCTGGAGGAGAAGCCACTACTGATGGTTGCCCGCCTGGCCCCTCTTGGCAACATCTCACGGCTCGGTATTCCGCAATATGACTGGGGAGCCAATTGCATCCATGGCGTTCAATCCCGATGTGGCACGGGTTCGGACGGTCAGGATCGCTGTCCGACTTCCTTTGCAGCACCAAACCTGCTTGGTGCCACTTTCAATGAGTCAGCATGGTGGACAATGGGCCACATCATCGGTGTAGAGTTGCGCAGCTTATGGAAGCAAGGCAAGGGTGAGAACCATCCACCCACTCAGCTTCCTCCTTTGGGTCTGGATTGCTGGAGCCCAAACATTAACATAGTCCGTGACCCACGCTGGGGCCGGAATATGGAGACTCCATCGGAGGACCCATTCCTCCTCAGCCGCTTCGGGGTGCAAGTAACCAAGGGGTTGCAGGAGGGCAAAGAGGATAAGGGTCGGCTTCAGGCCATTGTGACACTCAAGCACTTCGCGGCGAATGAGCTGGAAGGCACTTGGGATGGACCTGGTGGTCCGGCCCAGTTCCCTGGCACCGGCATGTGCCCTGGGAAGAAGTGCACACGGCACACCATCAATGTGAACATCTCCTCATACGATTTAGCCTCATCCTATCTAGCTTCCTTCCGCAGCGCAGTGGTAGAAGGAGGCGCCCTCGGGGTGATGTGCTCGTACAATGCCATTAACGGTTACCCCAGCTGTGCCAACAAATGGCTTCTGAATGATAAGCTCCGGAAGGAGTGGGGTTTTAAAGGCTATGTTACGGGAGACTCCGGTGCTGTGGCAGACATTTACAAGAAGCACTGGTTTGTTCCTTCAATGGAAGATGCTGTTGTGAAGTCTGTGGAGGCTGGGACTGATGTCCAATCCTCTGGTTGGCCTTCCGGGCATCCATGGGCTACAACAAATGCAGAATACCTCAAGTACATCCCGGCGTTGGTCCGAGACGGCAAGCTGTCTGAGCAGGAGCGCCAAATACGTCTATGGTTAGAATTGGCGTTGCACGGTGCTGCTACTCATGCAGGCACAGGCGCTTTCAAGGGAAACGTGTGCATCATGTTGCATCTTGCCAATGCCCTTCCCATCTCAGGACTTGGACGATGCTCTGAGGCATACGTTGACCTTGCGATTTCGCCTGGGCCTCTTCGATGACCCTGGCAGTCAGCCTTTCGAGAACTTCTCCGAAGACATTGTGCGAAGCAGTGAGCACTTGGCTGCGGCCATCGATGCGACCGAGCAAGGCCTGGTGCTCCTGAAGAATCTGAAGAATGAGAAAGCCATGAAAGCCACCTTACCAATTTCTCAAGGTCGAATTGCGGTGATCGGGCCGCATGCCACTTCCCGGTCTGAGCTTCTGGGCAACTACCTTGGTCAGATTTGCCCTGGAGAGAAGCAGAGCTTTGCTTGTGTGGAATCTCTCTACGAGGCTCTTGGCAACTTGTCGAAGGACGTTACCACAGCCCCCGGCTTGCCAAGCATCAGCGGTGAGGTGGACCCAAAGCTCCTGGCCGAAGCCGTGGCTACGGCCAAGAATGCCGACCATGTCGTCCTCGCCTTAGGCGCCTGAAAGCACCAAATAGTGAGAGAGGTGGTTTTGGCATGATATGGCTCCTTTCACCTCAATCTCAGCAGTGTGGCACGCAGACAATGCGCCGAGAATTCGGGGCTCGGGATTCTGTTTGTGTAGGGTTTCCAGGTTGTGACAGATTAGGTCGACTAGTTGCTTGTTGCTACACAGTGACCTTTATGAGAACCGTTGAGATTCAAGCAGGCTTGGACACTAGCACTATCGAGCAGGAGGGGCGGGACCGTCACACTGTCACGCTTCCCCCTGGGCAGCTGGAGCTTTTCGATGCCATGACTGCCCTCAAAAGGTGGGGGTGCTTTTGTCTGGACATAGGGGTAAGGTTGGGATATAGTTAATCCATCAACAGAAGACAAAGCGGCTTGCGCACAAAAGCGGCTTGCGGACAGGCCAGTGACTGTGGTGCTGGTGAACGGCGGCATGGTGGCCATGAGCTCCGTCAAGGAGAAAGCGGATGCGATCGTGGAGGCCTGGTACCCTGGCTTCTTTGGTGCCGGTGCCATTGCTAGGGCGCTGCTTGGACACACGAATCGCTGGGGCAAGCTGCCGGTGACCATCTACGATGAAAAGTTCACAGACGAGTTCGACATGCTCAGCTTTGACATGTCGAAGGCTCCAGGACGGACATACCGCTACTTTACAGGACAACCTCTCTGGCCTTTCGGCTTTGGGCTTTCTTACACCACCTTCTCATTGAAGCTCCTCGGGTCAAGTTCCATCAAGGTGTCCCAGCAAGGCGAAGCTGCCACAGTGAACGTGCTGGTTCAAAATACCGGCACCGTGGCAGGGGACGAGGTGGTCATGGGCTACTTCTTGCCAAAAAACGGCACCATTCCTGCAGGCCGAGCTACACTGCTGCGCAAGCAGCTCTTCGCCTTCCAGCGTGTGGCCGTCCAGCCCGGGATGGCCGTGACTTTAGGCTTCACAGTGACAGCAGCGAGCTTCCAGGTCTTTACGGACGGCGGCGATGGAGTCAGCTATGCTGGCAAGTACACCGTACTGTTCAGCACAGGGAATGTGGATGTCCCGTTGCAGGTGGAGGTGGATGGGCCGCAGCATCAGCCGGCTGTTTTGCAGCCGTGGCATGCGCCTTCCAGAATATCTGGAACAAGCAGCATTGTCGTTTGAACGTCGCGGCGCGCCTTGCTGCATCTGTCTGGTGTGTCACTTTCTGTTGTGATTGGCGATGAAAGTGTGTCACTCCGGCGATGTCCGTGGATCTAGCTTTGCCACTGGCTTAGGCAAATCTGCTTTCAGGTGCTGGAAGCAAGGCGCAGGAAAAAATGTGCTCGAGCCGCCCGTGAATTTCAGTGACTGTGAAGAGGGAAGGCGCAGTTTCCAGCACGATAGGGTCCCGAAACAGAAACCCTGAGTTTCAGCAACGGCGTCCAAACCCAAATCTACTTGAAGGATTGAATGATCTGCAAGCTGGGTGTTGCCTCTTCAAGTGGCAACAGCAAATCATCATTGGTTGCGGTGGTTCGGCAATCGGCTTCGTTGCTTGTACTCGTGTGATTAGCTTGTCCCATCGAGTGTAGCATCGATTGCGGGTAGACATGCGTCCGACCCTTATGCAGATGCATCCCTTAAATGTTTGGCTCAAACCTCCAGGCAGTTTGTAGATAGGATATTGCAGGCAGCCCCTGCTGCCTGGACGCGGTGTGAAGGCACGGCCGGCTTTTCGATATCATTCGAGCCCGAGCCGATGGGTGCATCTTCTGCAGGTGTGATGAGGCTGAAATTAACGCATGAGGCCACCCCACTGCGTTGCATGGCTGTGAACATGTCGGGATGGAAAGGTTGTCCCAAAGAATGAACGCGCGCCCAGTGGTCCCGTTTCAGGAAGCACCGAAACACAAGTCGCTAGTGACTGCAGTTGGATGGTGATGAGCTGAGATACCGGAAGTGTCGCTTCCACATAATGAAAGCACTTTCAGCACTGAACACTATGCTCAGGTACAAGACTGGCAAGCAATACGAGCTGCTGTCAGCCGGTGATGATCAGGTTGCGGGGCGCATGCAGGGACAGGGTCTGTTCTCTTAGGTTGCGTAAGCAGGGTCTGCAACTTGCCAAAGAGCTCTTTTAGCTTGGAGTAGAAGCAGACTCCTAGTTTGGATTTTTCGTTGCTGACATGTTTCTAGGGCCAATGCCTGCCGTGACAGTTACAGAAGCTGTTCCTGGCTGTCAGTATCTGACCACGTCTGATCACTCCACGATGGACAGAGTTCTCCAGAAGCATGTGGCTTCTGCTTCAGGAAATCTGGAAGTGGCACGTGGAGGGATCCCCGATAGCAAGTGTCTCAGAGCCGCGGCTGGATGCTTCATCTCATACAGCAAGTTACAACACTGGCCGAGTTATAGAGTGGCTAGCCAGCCAGTGGCTTGTGTGCTGTTTTGAAGTCAGCTTTTCAACTCTGTACGGCCGTGTCGTGCCTCGTCCCATGACGCCACTCCAGACATCGGCATCGCCCAGGTGAAGCTGGGAAGCTGCGAGTCCTTCTGCACGGTGCTGCTCTGGGTTTCTGTGTTGATGAGAGTAGGATGGAGAGTAGGACTGAGCAGGAACATTTCGCACTGCAGCTCTGTGACGAAGAGTTCTGTGTAATAGTGATCTGATCATTGCACTCTTTCATTCCTTAGCCCGCAAGATCCTGATGCAAGAGGCCATGGCATGGATGCCCAGTGGCAAAGGCATGGCCGAAGCCTCCAGTGCGTTCAAAAGCTGCGCATGACTTGTTGTGCAACTTCTAGTGTGGCCTTCCTTGCAGTTTCAGTGCGACTGTAGCCAATGATGGTAGTAGCCAAGCCATGCCACGCTCCCTGGCTGACTGTGCCAGGCTCCGAAAACACGTTTGCACTTGGATGCGCAGATGGGACATTCAGACTGGTCAGTGAAACCGGCCGGGAAGAAAAGAAGGCCCATGTGCATGGTGTGGCCTGCATATATTGGCCTATAGATACATGGGTCATCATGGGTCACATGTGCTGAAAGCAGTGGCAGGTCGATGCGCACAGGGGTGCAGTCATCTCGCTGCGCTGGAGCTTTGATGGCCTCGTTCCCAGGGCGAGACTTGCCAAGCTGGTAAAGCTGGTAAAGCTGCAAAGCGCTGAAAGACCTGTGCGTCAGGTTCTGCCATCGCGACGGCTGGCGAAGATGGCATCGTCAAGGCACCGAAGGGACGTGTGACATGAAGGTCTGCGGGGTGTTGAGGTCATGAAGGAAGTCGCGTTGCTGCAGGTCTGGTCCAGAAGCGGAATGCTACGGTCAGCACTTGCACAGCAGTCCATCGCCGAGAGAGACCAAGACTATCTGACACTGGCCACTGGCAACGTGGGACTCATCCAAGGGACTCATCAGAAGTTATCTGAAGTTGTAAATCAGCTTGTAGCTCTGAGGTCCCATGCCATCTACTCGGTGGTTTGGTCTCCGGATTGTCTGGATCTGAGCAGATGTACAGTTCTCCTGCTCTGCTGCAGAACAGTTCTCCACTGAATGCAGGTGAGCACATTCTCTTTGCGTGCAGTTCGAAGATCCACCTCAAATCCATTCAGGAGCCTCTGTGATTGCTGAGCACTGATGCGACTGCTGTGTTACTCATCTGATCTGCCATGTGCTCGTGTTCTGCCCTGGGCAAGGCCGGCCAGAAGCAGGTCGAGTGGAAGGCACCTGCCACACGCAGTCAGCAGCGAAGTACGGAGCTGACTACAGCAGTGCCACGAAGCCCGGAGGCGCACGATGGCGTCGTCATGATGCTCGACTGGTCCTTTGTCAATAACACGATCCTTTCTGCCGGTGAAGACTGCCGGCCATGAACTCAGGCGAGTGATTCAGCAATAACCAGCTTGCTCTGGGAGCTGCTGAGGTACAAGATTTGGGACTGTTATGGTCGGCTTCTTTTCAACTCAGCTCCTCTCGATCACGTAGTGACCTCCATTGCCGGAAGCACAGTTAGTATCTTCACGGTATTCAGCCGCAGACCCCACGAAAAAACACGCAATTCAGTGTTGACGGTCGCTAGCTAAGGCATGGTCCCCGACTGGCAAACATTTCGCCGTTGGAAGCTTCAACGCACTTGTCTAAGCGCTTGTCATGGAAGCACCAGAACTCGTTGTTGTTGTCTCGCATCTCTTATTGAGCCTTGGCCCAGACACTGAAGCTCTGTGACCGCACTGGCTGGTCCTACTGCGCAGATCCCGGTTGTCCTCAACACTTTGTTCGTTCCCTGCATTCTTTGCAGTGCAGGCATGTTGCATGAGGCCAATGCCCGTTCTATCCAAGGTCGTGAAGCGCCAGATGTCGGCTCTATCTTCTCCATCTCCTGGTGCAATGTGAGACTCCCAGAAGTTGCTTGAAGGTTCCATTGTTGCCGCCAACTTGTGTGTCCAGGACGGTACGCAGCTTGCCTGTGGTACCGGGAGTGGCCACGTTGTGTTCGGAAGCCTTGTTGCCCAGTCCCCGGATAACAGCTGCAGCCAGCACAAAAGTGGCACGCAGACCTTCGAAGACCAAATCCGGGGTCCGCATTCGCCGTATCAAGGAAAGGAGCTGCACGTGGCAGAACATGGATGTGACCCTAGATGAGAACAACATGATCACTGCTCCTCGGCAGAATTCGGGAACCCTCTCCCATTGCCCGCTGTCTAGTCTCCCGTCTTGATTGCTATGCTCATCGCTGCTGTGTCCTGGTCGTCTTGTCACTGCTGTTCGTTTGCGAACATGCCTGGTGAGCTTGCGACGGGCTTACGAGCTTGAGTTTAGGTTGTGGACATTCTCAATGAGACAAAGGAGGCAGGGGTCAGCTTTCTGCAGTTTAAGTGGGAAGCATGCACGGGATCTCTGCGGAAGACCAACTTTGCGACAGGAGTTGGATTTCCGTGATCGAGTCACCGACATGCTGCTCCCTGAAACGCTTGCTGTCAGGGTGTTCTCGCTGCTCGTGTTCTGTGCATTCGGTGCATTCCACATTCTTGTCTTTCACCCTAGTGAGACAGAATCCGAACTGCGGTTGGGACGAGAGACGCTGCTTCACAGGTCGCTGGCCTATGGAGCTCTGGTTGTAAACACCAACAGCCAATGCTTCATCTATCAGTCGACAAACTGGAACACGTGGAGAGCTCGGGGATGTCACCACCTGAACTTGAGAAACAGCATTTTCATCGACATTTCCCAGGCCACACGTAGAGGACTTGAAAGAGCCACCGACCCTCATCGTCCAGTGCATGCCTGAGGACCAGACACCCATCGAAGTGTCTTGCCCAGTTTGCGGGAGTTTGTTCTGGCTAGAGCTACAGAGCAAGGTGCCCGCACCATTTCGCTCTGGTCGACGCCAACGGAATTCAAATCATCAACTACGAAGGCACCTTCTCAGCTAGGATTCACTTTCAGCACAGCTGCCCCCGTTTCCGTGTCAGGCCGGCAGTTGTCTACCATAAAAATGAGCGGCCTCCGCTATGAGTTCTTGAACCACCAGACATTGAGTCTGCCTGGCTTTTTATATTCTTGTTCGTTGTAGAGTCTCCAGAGCTGTTTATTTGAGTGTTGCTGGCGCTGCAGGCATTTGCAGAGATGCCGTTGCGCTGGTAGATCCTGCTCAACCTAAGCAGATTCGTCCCCTCCCAAGCTAAGCTGAGCGAGTCTGAACGTTAGTACATCTTCAGGGCACGTTAGGCCATGTAATTGTCAATGGGCTTGTAAAGTCCTTACCAAATCAGGTGTGTTCGACGTTTTCACCGGCCGTCCCATGCATCCGCAGGGGCCACCGTCTCAGCGCAAGCACGATGGAATCTGTCAGGTTCTCACAACGTGATGCGTTGGCAGCAAAGGACTTCCATCCAGCACAAACTGGACATCGTGCGCATTTCTCTCAACCAGCAGGGTCGTGCCCTCGGGAACAGCTGATCGCCCTCTGCGCTCATGAGCGTCACATGCTTGTCGGCTTCCACCAGCGCGATGTTGAAGTACGGCCAACCTTCATGTAAGGATCGGGCAGTGATCGCAAGATCGCTATCTTGGACAAGAACAAGGCAGAGTGGCAGAGTGGCGGTGATAGGGGGAACAGCTTGAACAGCTTGAGCAGCTTGTGAACAGCTTGAAGCTGCCTCTCTTTCCAGGACTTGTACCTCACCAAGGCCATGCATCCAGTCCGCTCTTCAGCCTGCTGATGCTGTGAAAACAATGAAGTTCTCGCATGTTATCATGTTATCGCCTGTTGCTGTGAACCATCAAGGACAAGACTGAGAAGCTTGGTGCCATGGTGGATACATTCATGTGGAATGACAGTACAGACATGCCACCCGACTGGAGAAGAGGAGGCACTGAGTTGTGAGAGCCTCATGTCATTCGTGGCACTAAGGCTCATTGCACTGATTGACGAAAAGCTGGTGATCTTCATTTATCCAGCTGTCTGTTTCGTGGACAAGGATCTTGGTAGCGGCTTTGTGGCACATCCCCAGTCGGCTGTGTTATGCCATCGTTTTTTTCGGGGCAGGACTTGCTTCCCAAAACGCTGCAGTCAAAGACCTGCGCTGATGCTGGCAAGCGGCAGCCTCAGAGCTCAGCAGGGAAAGCGTGGTTTCCGGGGCTGCTGATGTGATCTCCAGACCTTGGAGCGCTTAGGTTCCACTTGGAGAAATCCTTGAAACGTAGACTTCTGATCCTTCATTGCGTAGCCTGATAGGGATATGAGTTGAAGCGGGGTCATCTCCCTGTTTGAGCTCTCAGGTATGCACAGATCGTTGCGTTCTACGGCTCCAACTGCACAATCAGAAAGGTTCCTTGGTCTTGGAGCAATTGGAGCACTGGGGGGCAGCGAGTCCTCGAGACCTGACACGGCTCATTGGTTTGAGAAAAGGCGGACGGATCAGACCTGGCAGATGCCTCGGTGGGCATCCATCTTGTGATGCTTGGATGGCAGATCGCGTAGGCTATGGTAAGGGTAGTGCATTTCCAAGGCCATGGTTACCACACCATACCCTCAGCTGTGGCTCGGCTTGCAAGCGGTCTGCACAGCATCATACAGCGTCACAGCGTCACAGCTCGTCTTCCTCGTGGTGGCTTGTGATGATTTGCGGTGCAGGCTGTATACGCATTTTGAGAAGGGCCAGTGGGAGCAGGCCGGTCACTCAGCTGCTTTGGTCCCTTTGGGTGTTTCCTAGTCTCTTAGGCTGTGCGGCTGTGTCGATATGTGAAGTCGCCAGAGCTCTGGGCTTCCTTGGCGGCCGGGGGCCCCAGAAGCGCGAGATATCTTTAGTCAGCAACGCGCACAGTCACAGCGTGACTGTGTGCGGTGTTTACGCACAGCAACTAGCAGTGCCATGAAGGCATGGCTTCAAACATCCCTATTTCACATGACTGTATGCGCATGCCGACGGGTATAGGCCAAGAGAAGCAGGGAATATTTCTGCTGCCAAAGACAAGCAGCTGATGCATTCTGGGGCATCATCCTGGGACGGTTGGACGACCTTCCTGCAACAACACAGCGACCTAAGTGGGGGCAGGTTCGATTTTCTTAAACGGTGTTGGAAGCTACATGGATACGAACTGAGGGCAGTTCTCAGTTCTCTCGACAGCAAACTAGTCTAAGTAGGATGCGTCACATGGTGTTTGAGAAGTTCAATTCATCAGAGTGTCCACTCCTGATAGCAAAGGAGATGGTTAAAGGCCAGGGGTCAGGAAGCCCAACTAACCGACACAGGGGTGAAAATGTACCTGCCTTTTGCCGGTGGCAACCTGATATGGCAACACGAGGGTGCTAGTGTCAGCAGCTGCTTGTGCGCTTGCAACCCGAAGCACACAATGCTCAAAGAAATCCCTGCCAGATCTCATATAGCACTTGCGCAGGAGAGTGGGATGCCATTCTGTGTATGTGCAAAAGCAAGAACCTTGTTGTTGACTGTTACGACCTTTTTTTGTTGGATCAGCCGTCTATTGGGCCGGGCATTTGGACAGTCCCGGCAAATGTTCCATCAACCTTGCGGTATGTTCCAACAGCATCTTCGCAAGTGCCGGAGTTTCTCACAGTGACGTGCTGCTTTTCCTTTCAACCCTGAAATTTGTGCGACGTGTTTCGCGATATGAACAAGCAGGGAAGCAGTGCTGACAGGGGTGAGCCAAGCATTTTCAGAGCACGAATCGTCTTCATGCCCAACACGGTCCAACTTCTCTCATTTTGTGCAAAGACACGTGGTACGAGGCAGCAGCACTGCATTGTGAGGCCATGGCGATCCATCAGCGGGCGCTGGACACCGTTGAGATTGTATGATCCCCAGATGACCCAGCTGTGAAGAGCCAGTTGGAGAGCCGGACTTCAGGAATGCTAGATGAATGTTTGCTTTGCAGGCTCTAGCCGCAATAGAAGAGGTCGACAAAGTGCAGTGAGGGCCCTACAAGGTCTCGACAGGCGTATGCCGAACGCTTCTGCATACCTGACGACAACAGAGGTTCGTTGCTCACATCAACAAGCTGCCTGCTCCTGAAAACTGATTTGCAAGGGAAATGTAGATGTGGTGCTACGTAGCGTTGCAAGCATTGCATGGCCACCGCTCCTGATCATGCTCCCGGAGGCCCGATGATGTCCTTAAGTCTGCAGAACTAGCATTGTTCTGTAAACGGCCAGATGAGGTCAGCAGCTGAGTTCATGAACGAGCTTTGTTGCAGTTCGATGTCTACAGCACCCAACAGTTGTGTGAGAGTTCCTTCTGATAAGGCGCTCAACATCTTGCTACAGAACAGGCGCATCTACCGCGCCATCAAGTCCATGCCTTGCAAAAGTGTGCAAGCGAAAAGTGTGTGTGTGTGTGTGTGCACGTGCGTGCGTGCGTGAGTGTGTGTGTGTGTGTGCATTCAGAGTGTGGCGGGGGAGTGTCTCTGGCTTGCGATCTCTCATCGTGTTCAATGTGTGGAATTGGGCGGCTGAGGCTCAACATTCGCCTCCACAGATGGAATGATGCTCTGGAGCTGGCCTGCTGAAGCTGGATTTCGCTCTTTCTATGTTCTCCTCTCATTTGGAGCCTTTATCTTTTCGGTGTCTTTTCCGTATTCTTTTTTATGGTCTGGTGGTCCCCTGGTCTGCTGGTCGTTGGTCCCGCGGCCTGCTGGTCCTTTGGTTCCTAGTCTGGCCCCAGTATGGCCTGCTGGTCCCGTGGACCCACGGCCTGCTGACCTGCAGTTCATCTTGTTTCATGGTGGTCTACCGGATGATTTGCTTGCAAATGGCTGGGCTGGGTGTGGTTCACTGATCTGTGGAGGCCCCACCCTCCCCCTCCCCCCCCCCCCCCTCCCCTCCCCCCCCCCTCCCCTCCCCCCCCACCTCCCCCCCCTCCCCCCCCCCCTCCCCCCCCCCCCCCCCCCCCCCCCTCCCCCCCCCTCCCCCCCTCCCCCCCCCCCCTCGGAAAGGGTTGAAGAAGCGGCTGTGCTTTGTCAAGTTCCGAACCGCTCTATGCCTCTACCTGTGGAACACAAAGCTCAGGATGCCAAATTCTGAATTCCTGCTTCTATGGAGACAGAAATGGGTGGAGATGTATATACTTTGTATTTGTATGTCTGCACGTTTTCTTGAAATACGGCGTTTTTTTTTTTTGAGGGGGGGGGTGGCCATAACCTTGGATGCATCAGGACCGCCTCTAATTTCTCTACCTGTTTGTAATAGAATCAGGAGACACTTTAAACCTGCCGATCCCTTGCGAAGGAAACCTCCAATTCTGTATATGTTATTGGGAGACGTGTAGTTCCTCCCTGTACTTCACTCTGCTTACTGGCGTACGGGAAACCTTTGTTTTTCTATAACATGTATTTTTAACGCTGCGCGACCTGCCTCGGCCTGGCCCAGCGCAGCCCCCTGAGCATGTGGAGTCCGCAACCAGGCACCTTGAAGTTCCGGTCATGTAGGTGTCTAGGGCTGACAAAAACAAAAAACCAGTGCAGAGCTTTGCATCGCGTTCGGCGTTAGGGTGAGGGGGTACTTGGAATGGGGGTGTCGGTGGGGCTGTGAGAGGGGGGTGCCTGCAATCGAGCCCAACATGACCCCTGGTCCGGATGCACGGTCGGCCCCCGCGCACGTTGGCCATGAGGGGTACCCATTTCAGCCAATAAAGTGGCCAACCTGTTTCATGCTCCCCATACTCCTACGGCCCGAGGCCTCGGCGGATTCACTTGTGCGTCAATAGGACACATAGGACAACCTCTGCTGATTCTATTTTTCATAAGAATATTCTGAAGCACACGCCTGTTTCTCCATTTACAATACAAAAAGTCTTCGTTTCCATTTTGAACAAATTGGAGTTGGGCCAACTGGAGTTGAAAGTGGACAGTGGTTCTTTCTGCACTCGGGGCTCTGGGGCTCTAGGGCCCTAGGGTCTATATCCATAAGCCCCTTGTGCACAGGCTGGGTCATGATTTTCAAACGGCTGTGTTCTTGAAGAGTGGCGAAACTCTGGATCATCTAAAATCTGTGGACGCCAGCGAGTCTTGCAGAACGAATACGGGCTGAAGATAGGTCGTAACTGTGTAGCATGTCAATGTCTCTCAGAGGTTCGAGCACGTAGGGTTGTCAGAGTAGCACTATGAGTTTGAGGGGCCATCATCTAGACACTGCTGCTGTAGCTCTACTGTAGAAGCTTGCAGTAGACCTCCTGGCAGTTCAATCCTGATCACTGGCATGAAGTCATCGATGCCTGCAGGCGCTGAAGCACCAGACGCATGTCGACACCGTCCTTGCATACAGGCAGCAGCATCTTCAACAAATGAAGCACGCTTGCTTCTGAGTATTTTCGCTTCGTTGGCCACGAGAATGCAAAACCTGAGTTTTCTGGGGGCCGCTCCGAGATACAAGCAGGATTCAGTATGCCTGAGGTTGAGACCAATGACCAGTTCAAGCAGTGGGCGACACAAGTCGAAGTCGATCCGGGCTTAGCTTTCTCCGAACAAGATCTATTTTGCATGGTTGGGTCTTGTTTGTCTTGTTGACTTGCGGTCTGAGTCAAAGGACTGGGAGACCGTCAAACGAAAGATTGCAGTAGAGAAGGAGCACGAGTCGACATCTACCGTGGCAGTCTTCATGCTCGCTGATCCTTTTTGTATGCTTTCCAGCGTCATAAGAGAACGTAGAAGTGATTCCGGTCTGGAAATCGTTTGGGATTCTACTTGACGGGAGGGATTGGCTGGAAAAAGACAGATCCGGCTTGTGTTCCAGCGAAAAAGGCTACGTCCCGACAACACCGAGGAGAATCGTACTTGGTAAGCGCTCACACACTCATTCCCCACCTTCCGGAGCAATGACAAGGCAGTCCAAGGGTTCCATTTACACGTCCAAGATACCATGTCTCGAATCTGCAAAGCACACAATACCCACCGCACATACTGACGAGAATGCAACACCCGTGTGGGCGGAATGAAGGCTACTCTGAGTGCTGCGTGTACGTGATGGTATTCAGAAATATTCTCACGCAAATTTCTACGACTTTCCGGACACGATACAGGGCACCAGACATGACAGCACGAGGCTCGATATAAAAAGCATCCGACTATGGCCGCTGTCCTTGGGCTGGCCCAACGACAAGAAGTCGTCACACCGGGAACGCTTGGTCGCACGCCTTTTGCACGGATTGGCTCGCGATATTGTATGAGCGTAGGATTGCGTAAATGAGTTGGTGAGCGGTTGCGATGTACGGCTCTTTTTTGAGCGAGTTGTAGATGTCATTGAACGTGCTCGAAGTGACACGTGTGTCAGTTATGTGATTCAACAATCCACAATCCCCAGCGAATTTTTCACTACAGTTGCAGGACCAGGAGATCAGAGCCGCCAACGGCGAAGTTGCTCCGGGCTAGTGTAGAGGCCTTGATGAGACGCACGGTTGAAGTGAACATTTGCAACTTTTTGCAACCGTGGAGAATTGGAGGCTTCTCTGCAGGCTTGTTTCACTCTAACTGCCGGGGCCTTTTGGAGTCAGCAAAGTTTTTTCCACAAAGTTGTGGCTGCGCAACACCCCATTCTGTCGACCGCGTGGCTCAGGTTCACGACACTGGTGAATAGCCAGCAGAAGTGAATAGGTAGGCCCAGCGCCAGGTCAAAAGTGCACCCAAAAGCACTGGCAGTCGAACCAAGCCAAGCATACTCCCCAAAATCATGCCGAACCGTGAAAACCAGAACGCGAATTCAAAAGGGTGCTGGGCAGCAAGAGTCCAGCCATCCGTTGCGTGTTGAATCAACAATGTGGCCGTCGGCTCGCTCTTGGCCTGCAAAACGGACATTGTCCTGGATTGCACACCTTCGGTTGTGCCACCATGCTAAGGCAGAAGGGAATCGCAACATGATTGCAGCTGTTTGGCTTTGTGAGCCTGGCAAAGTTGTCGCGCCGACCAAGGCACGTACAGCCATACAGTAAAGCTTGACGACCGAATTCCGCACAATGCCAATACGATCTGAAGCCAGACTCCTAACCACCAACGTCGAACAAGAGAAGGAGTAGCATTCAGTACCATCTGCAGTTGCTAGTTCGCTTCCCACGGGTGTCAACAACTCTTGGCAAACGTCAGGCTCTTACCGAGCTCGCTTGAACTTGACTAGACAGTTTGGTGTCGAGTTATGTGGAAGTTAGAAGCCTCCAACACGGTACGTCGGTTTAAGTAGCTTGAAGTGTCTCCGTACTTACAGAAGAGTCAAGGCTCCCATGACGAAGTCGCGGGTAGGGCATGGCACTCAGCGAGGGGTACGGTGAACCGTCCCTGCGTTTGTTCCTTCAGCCATCGTGAGCCTTGACGAGGCGGCGGCCTGACGGTCCGGAGGATGCGAATCCCATGAACCGTCGACTGCCCGCAGAGGCAGCGAAGTCGCAGCTGTCGCGCGACTGCACAGTCCTGCAGTATCCTGCAAGTGCCGTGTGATTCCAGTAACAGGTCGTGAGCAGACGAAAAGGCAACGAGCAGAGAGTGCCCTTGCCGAATCTTCGCCGCTGCGTCGCGAAAGCTTTCTGTTGGGCTCGATTTGTTCGGCTCGGGGAGAGAGGGCCCCCTGCTATCCCCTGCTCATGTTTGCCAGGTAGGGCCTGGGAAGGGAGCGAAGGAGGAAGCAGCGCCAAGCAACGTCCCAACTGATCTGAAGCAGGCCGCAGCAAAGCCCATGCTTTTCTCATGGCTTTCGCTCTTTTCACATTCTGTCGCTTTGTAGCGGACACTCCGCTGCGCAAGGTGGAAAGTTGCGATTTCAGTTCTTGTTTGGCCGTCTTGGCCGCTGCTTGCATCAAAGGTTCTCGCCATGAAGCCCGATGCCCGCGTGAAGTGGTTGGCAAGAGCTGTGCAACAGGCACACCCACAGGCGCGGATGAGAGAACAGTCTTGAGGGTGTCGCTCGACGAAGCTCCGCAGCTCGGATGTCTCCCAGAATGTCAGGATGGTCGTTTGGCGCCCAAGTCCATTTACGACATCATCGCGCATGCCAAGTTTGCCAATGACGTAAGCGAGAAGTCTGGCCAGCGCATGTACTGAACTCAGCTTCTGGAGCTACAATTGCATCTTGTACCCTTGCGCAGAGAATTTTTAACAAGCCGCGAATCGGCCAGATCCTTCAAGGATGTGGAGGAATTTGGTAATGGCTCGCAAAAACATTAGCCGATTCTCGGGCAGACATTGCTAGCTTTGGAGAGCTGGCCAGGTTCATGTCCAATGTGTGTGGCAGTGTGAAATTCATGGAGGCCCTCGCCGATTGTATGTGCTGACCACATGGCACATGGTGCGATGTGAGAACTCAACTAGAATCAACTACCGTATGGGTTTCAAGATTCTGCCCAAGGGCAGATGTGGGCAACACAAGTTTGATTCAAGCCTGCAATCCAAACCGCCAGCGCCTGCGGACACTGCCTTCTCACATGAGAAGACCGCTTCAGCCACAGGTATGCGCATGACCCGCTTTATCACGTAAGCAAGTGTAGTATGATGACATATACTGAATGGTCCGAGCCGGCGAAGGTATCGCGTGGTGCACGCCAACCTGTCACTCTTCTCCACCCGGCAGCAGAAGTTTCTCGAGAAGGAGTGCGCGCTGGCAAAGCAGCAGCCTGCTCGCAGCCGAATTTGTAAAACCCAATGTAGACATGGGCAGCGAATGGCCATGTCGCTGCAAGGGCGGGTGCGGGGGGGGGGGCGGGGGGGGTTTGTTGGGGCGGCAGTGGCTTGTGGGTGGGAGCACTCTCTCCGCCTGTCCTCTTATGGCCCCACTCCATGCGACCCTGCCTGGTCAGGTTCGCTGCCTCGGCCTTTTCCGCAGCTCAAGCCGAAGACGAGGCTCCATGGACAGAGCAGACACAGTGCACGGCTCGAGCCACTTTGGACAGAAGGGCCACGACGTGCAGGGTCATAGTCACAGACAGTCATCGATGATCCAGGTCTAGGCAGTCGTCTAAACACGTTACACGGACTCGATTCCAGATGCTGCGAGGCGTGTCATTCAAGCTTCCAGTTTCGTGTCTGTGCACTCCTCAGGATAAGACAGCTGCTGCCATGGAGGCCAAGACCTGGGGTGTTTTTGATGTTTTTGCCCACAGAGACCAAGAAACCTTGCGTACTTGCGTGCATGTCTGAGAGAGACTCTGTCTGTGTGAACATTCATTGTTAGCATGTTTCAGCATGTTTCACTTGTGCTTGTGCACGAGGACATGATGGCTCGCTGCCGCGCTTTCGTGCGCGTTCACTGGCCTGCTTACTTTCCCACTGTGCATCTGTTTGAGCCAGTCGTTTTCGTTCTTCCCAACTCTTGTGTGGACTTGTTGTGTACGAGGAACGTCAAAGCGAACGTGGAGAGAGGAATGACAAAGAAGGCAGGTCTTGACTTTAACACACCCTGCTGTAGGAGGCGCTTGCTGTGCTTTGATTCTCGGATGCATGGACAGGCAATGAGGAGGGTGAGCAGGCTCGGGCGTGCTGCGTCTTGTGCATTCTGCACAACTGCAAATAAGGCGTTGAACGTAGGCGTTTTTAAGTACCTTGTAGTGGGTGAGTTGTGCCAAGCAAAGATACGGGGGGGGGGGGGTGAGATTGGCAGATGGGACAAGTAAACGAGGTCTAAGAATGGCCGTGCAGGAGGAGGGACAGGAGAAGGAGAAGGAGGAGGAGGAGGAGCAGGAGGGGAGGAGGAGGAGACGAGTGTAGAACAGATTTCGTTGCCAGCTTTCGATGTACTTACAGTGGCTTTGCCAAACTGGTGCTTCGCACCAGAAAGCCCAGAATGGGTGAACATGGTCTTGTGTACGGGCCCACTCAGATGAGGGCCTGCCTTTGCAGAAATGTTATGCCCGAAAGCTTTGGAGTTTTGCACTCGGGCGTCGTTACCCCTTCTGGCACCTCGGGTTAGTTTTTGCTAGTTTGTCAAACTACCTTCGTAACGTGGTGTTGAATGGTTGCTTGACGCCAGCATTTTGGCAGGAGTGAGCTTGTGTAGGGTGCATCGCAGAAAAAGCAAGAAGCTGAGTCCTGTCACCAACACCATTCAGAGTGTTGTATTTGGAGCCTGGCACTAACGCAGGACGAGGCAGAGGCGGCAGCCGAGCCGGCAGACTTGCAGTCGGGGCACAAGCTTGCTTGTACACATGCGTTCATTTGTTGAGTCACTCTTCGTGCTGCATGCCCTCTAGGCTGATTTCCCTCAAACTACGTTTTCAGTTTCAGCTGCAGTTGAAGATAGTTGAAGCTGAAATTGCAAGACTACTCAGACGGGGACCGCCCGAACAGTGTGCACAAGAACACAAATGCAAGCAGGCTGTAATATGTAGATTATGTAAACATATTGTAAACATGTATATAATAATATGTATATATGTATATGTTGCCCCCCATGACCTACCGGGAGGCCATGCAGACAGAATGGATACACGTGATCCTGACATACGGTATAAATTCACCTTTGTGTCATGACATGGGATGTAATTGCGAATAAGTTAAAGAATTGGAGCTCAGTTGCATTCATGAAGCTACCCATGCTATTAACCGAGTGTTTGAACCGCCAATTTAATTTTCAAAAATAGAGTTATACATAATAATGGGATGCAAAAGGCGGGGCAAAACTGTTCTGCTTTCTCATGAAGAGCTCCCAGACGTTAAGTAGCTTCTAGGAGTTCTGATTGACATCCAATTCTGGTAATAAACCCAAAACATATCACATGAGGACCTTAAGCATTGAAGATGAGATCACCCTTAAAGTTACAATTTGTCTGAGGTTTTGTCAATGATTTTATAGCAGGCAACATAAGACTAGCCCCCTGATTACAATAATTAGTTTGAACATCTGCTGCCCCAGTAGCTGTCCTACATTCTCTTCCAAATGTCCCGGCCACTCAAGAACTAGTACGTTAGTCCTATTCGCCTCGGCTTCCTGCCGAGAAGCGGAACAAGCAGACACGGATCCGGTCTCCTTCCCCTTAACCCGACCCTTCCCCCCATTCCAAATTTTGTGATGCATCCTCCCACCCCCCCCCCCCCCCCCCGGATTGTGGGACACCCCCCTGCTCTGGGACCCCCCTTTGCACTTTATTGGGACCCCCAATTGTCTGGGACCCCTCCTGGGATTTCCGGAGAATTACCTGGAACCCTTGAAACCCTTCCCTGCACCCCGTTTTTTTGCGGCCCTCTTTTCTCCTTTCCTGTGGGCCGGCCCGGCTGCCAAGGCGGCGCGCGCAAGCGTTTACAATGGCCTCTACCTGTGTTAACTACATGAGCAGAACCGTTTAGATTTTTAACTTGGGGTGGAACAAATGGGATTGAAAGGAGATGTATCATTGCGGGCGTCCACGGCCCCATTACTTGACGTTGCCCGAACGTTTCACTCAGATTCTGCAAGTGTATTGTGCTGCCAGAACATGTCGCTGAGTCGCGCTGAGGACCCATGCCGAGCCACTGGAGCCCTCAGAGCCAAGGACAGAAGATGCGAAGGCGCGGCAGCAGAAGGCAAGAGTTCCTTGTTTTCCTTGGTAGGCTTCGCGGGTTGATGGCATGTCAAGCTCGGGAGTCATGACAAGGGTTTCTTTCGATTGAGCTTTTGGTGCATCCGCCAGCAACCTTCACGAGACCACGCTGACACTCCCGGCAGATCACTGCAGGTGGTCACCGCCGAGGCAGCTGTCCCTGCGCGAGAGGCCAGCAAGCACCGGACTTAGAGTGCCCCAGGCGAGCCCTGAGAATGAATTTCGTGGTTTGTGGTGGCTCGCAGCTTCTTGCCTTGGATGCAATTTGGAGTGCAGTGTGTGACGGAGTGTCGCGGAGCAGGAGCCGCAGCGATGGCGGCGACCAAGATCACAGCATCTCGCTCCGCACGCCATAACAGTTGGAGTTCCCACTACCAGCCACCAGCTGACTTTGGCCGTGTGTCTTTTAAAGTGCTCCAGACAAGTCGCCATGTTGCCAGGTCAGGTGCCTGCAGTAGAACATTCAGAGCCACAGGAAGCTTGGCTGAAATGGACTTCAGACTTTGCTGAGCTGCTGGACAGTAGGTTGGCTGCGCCTGCGTTGCTTGCCTGTGTGTCCGGGTCTGCATTTGCCCAGAGTTGACTGGAAAGCATGCAGTCCCTAGACAGGAGATTGGGTTCAGCTGCAGCCCAGGAAGAGAAGTCGCCGGTCAAGGTCAAAGGCATCACCGAAAAAATAGCAGAGGCCGCCAAAGCAGAGGATGCGAAGGCCACGGAAGTGTCGTGTCACATAGCTGCATGACTTCACACCAGGGTCAGTACTTCGTCCTTTTTGTCCGCAGATTGAAGTACAGCGTACCACGGCCCACACTTGACCCGAAAGAGCCATTGCCCACCAAGGTCAGCAAGAATCCATGTCATGTAACGGCGAAGCATTCCCTGTTCCCAAAGAGAAGAGCAGGAAAGAGAAGCAAAGGCCAAGAAGGACAAAGTGAAAGGCAAAATCAAAGGCAAATCAGACAAGAATGGCTACAAAGACAAGGATGCCGCCAGTGTCGAGGACAAGCCCAAGAGTAAGGCGAAGACCAGGGAGAAGGACGCTGTGATGCTACAATGTTGTTAGATGCGCCCTGAGCTCAAGCACTGAGCCATGTCCTTATCTACTTCATCTACTTCATTCCCCCCCCCCCCCCCCTCCCCCCTCTGCCTCTGATCCTGCGCTTGATCGCATCATCTTTTGGGCCCTCAATCACAGCTGAACTCAACTGCAGGGTTTAGGGTTTAGGGTTTAGGGTTTAGGGTTGTCTTTGCTTATCGTGAAGGATCGGAAGAGCAGAAGCGGCCGAAAGAAGCACGGGCGGCGCTCCACTCAGCAACCCATTGAGACTTGAAGAGATTGACGGGCATCTGCTCGTACAGTGCGACTTCAACACACAGCCAGATGAAGTTTCAGGCGTGCGAGGGAACGCAACTCGAAACTTGAGAGCTGTCAGATGAGTACTGTGCTGAAGTGTGCCTTTTCGAAGGGGAAGATGCCCGCTTCAAGCAACGCTGCCCTGAATCGACTCTGTTTAGGCAATTCACTCTACGCACTTGGGCGATTCAGGCTACTCACTTTGCCATTGTGCCAGATTCATCTCGCGCTGGTGGTGAGTTTTTCAGCTGTGCTCTGCAAGCACCGTTGCAGACGTGCTAGCTAAGGAGAACATGAGTTCGTTGTACACCTTGCAAATCCCACAGTTGTATGATTCTTATGTCTCATCAAGAAAGGGACGGACCAAGCCCCTGGACCAAAACCCCCCGAAGCTCAAGCCCAAATCCACAAAAATCACTTCCAATGCAAGAAACTAGGAGAGAGACACTCGGGCTGCTGTTTTTCCTCGTCCCCAAGAGCGACTGTGGTTTTCTGCTGCCGAGGCACAGTGCAGCATCCTCCAGCGGCAGCAACAGGCAGACGCCGCTGCCTTTTGGGATTCTCAGCGGTTTTGGATGAGCACGAATAAGGGGAGATACGCAGCCCGGTACTGCCGGAAAGATCATCCCCACGCATTGCCATTCCGGGCACCAAAGTCCCTGTTTGCTGCTGTGACAGGGACCGAAGCAAGTCCCGAAGCCGCAGCCATCGCAGAGATGTTTGCCTCTGAGATTTTGTTGAGCAGATGCTGTGATGAGGGGAAACGCATTTTCGCAATGAACAAGGCAATAAGATTTCTAGGTTTCGTTTCGGACGAAAGCTGAGCCCACATGATGCAATCATACAGACATGGCTATTTTGCAACCAATGTTACGTCTTATCCATTAGGCCTTACAGGATCTTAATGAGTTCACGAAGCTTTTGACAGCCCAGGCCAAGCGCAAAGTGAAAGGCAAATCGAACCACTCCGACCACTCCTCTGACTCTGCAAGGACCGTGTCGGAGATGAAGGGATGTGGTTCCATTGTGATGTCTTCCATGTATGTCCCTGTCACCTGCTGTGCGTTTGAGCGCGAAAGGGAGCAGGCGTTCTGCACAGATTGGGTCTTCTTTTATTCTAAGGGGCTACGCCCAGGGACGGGCAACGCCCCCAAGAGTAGCAGGCAGAGGCATGGCAGCTCCCAAAGCACAACCCCCCCCCTCCCCCTGCGAGCCGCTGGTGCTGCCGATGCTCGCCCCTCAAGGAGAAACGAAGCCTCGATGATGCGCACCTCTGGGCCCCGGCCCGGACGCGCATCATGAGCATCAGCGGCTCCGGCCTCCAGGCATGCGTGCATCCGAAACCCGAGACCCAACCCGCTGATGCTCATGATGCGCGCTCTTGCGGGGGTCCTTTGGGGTGGCCGATGCCCCCCAAAAAACATCAACAACGCGTCTTCGGCAGAAGTTAAAAAACAGAGTCAATGATGCTCTCCGGGGTCGTTTTTGGGACCCCCCGTGGGGCACCCAAAAAATGCGTCCAGGAACCAAATTTCGGTGGGGAATAGCGCGCTTTTCGCGAGAAAAGAAGACCTTCGGAAGCCGAATTCTAAGGGGCTACGCCCAGGGGCGCAATGCCCCCAGGATTAGCAGGCAGAGGCATGGCAGCTCCCAAAGCAAAACTCCTCCCAAGGAGAAACGAGCCTCGATGATATCCTGAGCATCAGCGGCTCCGGCCTCCAGGCATGCGTGGCTTATGGGGGCATATGCCGGCCTCAAAACGGAAATGTCCGCAACAGCACGAAAACCACGGTATTTACAGCGTTTTCTGCATTTTCCAAGCGCGCAGCCGCATCCGAAACCCGAGGCCCAACTGGCTCATGATGCGCGCTCTTGTGGGGGTCCTTTGGGGTGGCCAATGCCACCAAAAAACATCAACAACGCGTCTTCGGCAGAAGTTAAAAAATGAAGTCAATGATGCTCTCCGGGGTCGTTTTTGGGACCCCGTGGGGCGGATGTATGTCTCTGTTAAGGCAGCGAGACAGAGACGACAGTGAAAGCCGTCACAAAACCGCGGGGGTGCCAAGGGACGCCCGGCGAATATGAGACAAACTTGAAGCCTCTGAATGTGATGCCGGCCTGAGGCAAAGAAGAGTGGCAAAGCCAAAGGGAAGTCCCACCACTCTTCGGACTCGAGTGACAGGAAAACCTGTCGGTTTGTAAGCATAGTTTATATTTGCGAATGCTCGACACGAGTTGTCATGTGATTCCCCGTGGCAGGAAACGCAGGAGAAGTACCTCAAGCTCCAGATCTCGTGGCAAGAGGCGCACTTCTGTCGGGGGATCACTCCAGCCAGAAGTCAGTGAAGCAGTGCAAAATCGCTCCTGCAACGTGCGGCTTTGCATGGCTTTGTGCGGCTTGTTTCTTTCGTTGGGGTTGTCGCTGTGGCTGTCCGCACATCATTGTTCAGTCTTCATCAGTTTCAAGCGGTGCACGTGCAAAGTGCCTCTCGGCGTGTGCTGGCGAGGCGCAAGTGAGGAGGTTTCCTTCCCGTCCCTGTTGATTATAACCTGCTGGCAAAAGTGCCGCGCAGCGGTCCACCACAGCCTTCATGCCTTCCAGCATACGTGTGGCCCTCTCTCTGACTGGAAAGCAGGTCGCGGGACCACATTCGCTGTGGGACTCTGTTAATGAACTTCGGTTTCACAGGGGCCAACGGGAGAAGCATCATGTCAAGACTAGACGTGAGAGCCTCCCGACACCCTGGAAAGCGGATGTTTGAAAATCTGGCCGAAGCAAAAGTGCTTCAACCGCCTGCCGTTGAATCCGTTGACAAGTTCCTGCTTACGTTGAGATTGGATATGATTGGAGCGCACGCACCTGCCAGTGTACAGCACGTTGCTCAGCCAGCTTCTAACTTGTGCATGCTAAGCGGCTAGACGTCAGCACAATCTGAGCTTGGATTCTTTGGGATTGAGTTTGGTTCGACTTTCACAGCGCATGCCATGAAGTTGCGCGGCCGCCATCCATTTCCGCGGCATCGAGGTGGGACATTTGATCCTTTGCGTTGGGAACAGAGTGAACAACCCAGCCCCTTCAGAAGGTTTGTGGGCGGCCGTCATTGCGTGGGTTGTTCTCCGGCAATCATCCTGCAGCTCAGCGTTTGCAGAAGGCAGGGCGGGGCTCACATTGCTACGCTTTGCGCGCACTTCGCGTGCGCTTCGGTGCAACTGACTTCGCTCTGGTATGTATGCTTGATCTGCATGTATATCCTTCAGGCGAATGCTGCTCAAAGCTTCGCAAAGTCACGCTCATGCAGACAAACACTAGACAAACATTGCGCCTACTTAAAGAGAATGAGGGGGCAATTCTTTGATTATCGTACATCTTTTCGTTCTTCAGCTGCTTAGCTGGCAAGAAATTGCCACCGACCAGTAGCTGCTATGCCTGCCGTAGCAGCTGAGCCGATCGGCAATCTCAGAATGCGGGGGCGGCAGTTCCAAGACGGCGAGACCAATGTGCAATACTCGATCCTCCAGACGAAGAAGGAGGCTCAGTCTACTCGACTCATTTCTTGTGTGGCACTTCTCTTCGCAGCCTGCTCGGCTTGCTCCATGTACGTGCTACTCCGAAATTCAGACTCGCACGCAGAGTTTCCAGAGGGGACGGAGGTGATTCGGCCGGGTTGGGCTTGGACCACCGTCCCAGCGGTGGTGCGCGAAGAAGCGTCGATGGAGTCGACGAAGGTGGCAGTGATCCCGGCAAAGACACGGGTTCTTGTTTCGGAACTACGAGGCGTGCGGGCGAGGATCGCGGAGCCCATTGAAGGTTGGATTTCCTGTGTCTCTGACGGCCGACAGATAGTAACGCTGAAGGAAGTGGATGAGGAGCTGAACGCGCTTCGAGAGAAGCTTCTGGGCCAGCAGAAGGTTCAACGACAAGTGGATGCAGCCCTCAAGAAGCGGAAGGAAACAAAAGGAGTTCCCCAACCACAGCCACGCAAGAAGGCTGCCGAGCAAGTGACCGGTACGCCATCGCAAGACCAGAGTGAGCAAGAAAGCCCGTGATGGGCTGTGTTAGATGCTGTTAGATTCGATGCTTGCACGAATGGTAGCATGTGCCAAAGTGGAAGTTTCACCCACTGGTGTTGGCGAAGGTGAAGCACATGCCACTGCATTACAAGAGAAGGATTTCATGGAAGAGTTTCCTCAACAAATGTTGTGTCTCCCGATGCTTCAGCACCCAGGCCCTGGCAAAGCGACTACCAGGCAAGAAGAGTCTTCGGTTTCGGGCGTTGGAATCTGCAGGTTTCTCTGCGCGGGTGCGAGCAGTTTCCTAAATCGGATTAGGGAACCACCCTTTTTCTTGCAACCCGCTCTAAGTTCCCCCCTATCACTTTAGGCATAGGAGCAGAACCCGCCTTGCGATTGAACGCGACAGAATACTCAAGCCAGAATCCTTTCCCTCTTCGCAGATCAATCAACAACTATAGGCCTTCATTCCGGTCAGTCAGTGTTGAGTTACGACTGGAAGAGCACAGTCGACGAAGATATGCTCTCGCCATGCAATTTAATCTTGAGCAAGACATTGCTCAACTTCAACCTGTCTCGTGGCAAATATCATCAGTTACGACCGTTCGATTGTAGAGGTAAAAGTTCGCGCCCTGCGATCGAAACCGCAATGTGGAGTTGACCCTCTCTTTACATTGTGATCGACACCTGGAATTCGAAGATAGTGGATCTATCCACGGTTGTCAAATCTGTCCCCCAGTTGTCGCCCAAAGTCTCGTGCGAGCTTGCTCCGATTCTTGCCCGTGCCCGATCCCGTTCGGTTCTGTTGTGATCTGATTGCCCTGAGCCCCTCGTCGCATTGCCTGGTGTGACATGTGTGAGCCGATGGGTTTACTGGTTATCGCTGCGCTCATTGATCACAGGCCGGATCAGCTGCTTCGACGCCACTTCCTTGTGCAAAGCTTAGTGCAGGCTACAGGATTGTCTTGGCACAGCGCGGGTTTGGTTTCAGGTCCCGCTGTTGGAGCTCTGGAGTGCGTGGCAGGTCCCGGCACGTAGTATAGACAGCGACGCATGATACGAGTCAGATGCAATGACTTGCCACGAAGTCAAGAATGCGCAGTGCATGTGTGAGGGTGGTGCCCCAGCTTGGGCCTTGAGCAGCGAGCCAAGTGTGAAGGCAGAATGGACCCCCGTTGTAACGAAAGGGGCCCCGAACATCAAGGCAACGACGAGCAGCTTGTCACATCCCTCTTCGAGCGTGTAACTCCTGGGGTTGTCTCCATCGCTCGCGAGCCACCTCCGAAGGCTCTCTCTCGAGTTGCGGCGCAGTGTCTCTTTATTGCGGGCGTGTGTGTAGACTTGAGAATGGCTGGCCAGCGACATGTCAGGACACGCTGGGAGAGAAACCATCTGCGGGAATTGCAGGCTCTGGTTTTGTTTGGGACCAGAAGCACGTTCGAACCTTGTCGTTCACATCCTTTATGTTCTTTGCTGCCGTTCTTAGCCATAGCCGGCTCTTGCGAGTTGGGTGTAAACAGAGGTCGTGACAAACTACCATGTCATCAACGAGCTTCAAACGTTTGCAACCTTACACACTTGTGAGTCATGCTGAGCTTTCTTATCGCAGCTGCATTTGCTTTAGAGTTTAGGCCATATGTGACCTTCCTCCTGAAGGACGGCTCAGGCACACTGCAACTTGTTCTTGGTAGCCGGAGGCTTATGCTCATGCTGCCGCGCGCCTCGGCCTTGTCGCTCGTGGCACCTCTGTAAGCTTGCAGGATATCTAAGGGCCCCAGCCAAGAGCCCCGAATACATGACATTTTGGGAGGTGTGGAAATTGGGATAAGCACCTGGAGCTCAAAACGACGACGACCCTCACTAGACACTGCCATTGTCCGGCATGGCCTCTTCCCCAAGAGGCAGCAAGCATGCGGACGCCTGCAGACACACAGCGCCTTCCGCAGACCTGGCACACAAAGCCCAGGTCATCGTCCCGCACACAGCCAGCATGTCTCAATGACTGCCGGCCTTCGTTCCCCCAGAGCTGTGTGCAGCATGTGTAGCATGCACAGCAGGGACGTGAGACCGATTGGCCGTGCACGCAAAGCCAAGAGTACCTACAGCCTGTTGGGCTTCTTCGACGTGCCATCTGTAACCTGGTTGGGTCATCAGTCGGCGGAAACCGTGCAATGGTACGCGTCTTTTCTTTGATACGCCTAGCTCAGTGCTGTTGTTGGCATTGAGCAGCAAGGAAAATAGTTTGTGACATGTCGCCAATGCTGCGCAGCTGCTCCAGCTAAGCTGCCAGTCTTCAGGCTCCAAGCGGCTAAGCTATCAAGCTCAAATTGTCGGTACCTTGCTCAGAGATCTGTGAGTGATAGCAGACTTGAGTGGAGTGGGTGGTGAGACGGTGAGGTTACGATGCTACAAGTGATGTGGCCGTCTTGAAAGTGGGTAGTCGGGACTCACAATCGCTGTTAAGTCATGTCACCGGTCTCTTGCAAGAAGCCTCACATGAGCACGCATGCTCGGGCCAGGACGGCATAAAGCCAGACACCCCAAAAGGCCACGCTTGGTGAGCAATGCTTTTGGTTTTCTTCCTTTTCTGGCTTCGAGCCTTAGCAGGCCTCATGCAACCTCTTAATCGTGGTCGGTCTGACCGGCTGTTGGTGGGCCCTGCTCTTGGGCTCTTTGTGCGACTTGCGCGACTTGTGCTCATGGCTTCAGTCTGCGGGATTTTGTGGCTGTAGGCCAGAATGTCTTCGCTTTCGGAAACCCCTTCGGAGCGAGGCTCAATTCAATGTGATCTCTTGTCACTTGGCCACCATCTCGCCATTCTCTGCCTGACTCTCTTTCTCTCTCTCCCTCTCTCTCTCTCTCTCTCTCTCTCCTTTCAATTGGTGCTTTGTGCCGAGGCTTGGAGCATTCACTCAGCCGTGGGATCATCAGCGGAGCGGCCGGCTTGGACTCTGCGGGCTCGCTGCTCTCTCTCTCTCTCTCTTTTCTCTCGCTGCTCTCTCTCCCTCTTTCTCTCTCGCTCCTTCCCATGGACACAGAGGTGTCTCGGAGACTCGAGGGTGCTGGAGGAAGGCCAATAAGCGGGCCACCTGAGGTCAGAATGCCAGATTCCTAGATACAGAGCATTTGCAAGCCTCGTTTAAGGTGGAGTCATCCAGACGGATGCTAGCATCAATCCAGGCCTTCGAAACTTGACTGTGCCCAAACTGTAGATGCGATGTTGGGGCATTGCGCGGTATCAGGAAACAGCGGAGGTCCATTGCTCAACAGCGATGGCGAGGCGGCGTTGGACTGTTAGGATGAGCATGAGGTGCTGGTCGTGTGGAGGTGCGGCAAGTTTTTTGAGGTGATCGGAGTCAACACGGCCATCCTTTCCGGCAGCGGCATGTTTGCAGGAGTTGGTGAGATGCCCAGGGGATTGCTGGGACATCGCTGATTGACTTATTTGACTCCGCTGAAGCGATGGGAAGGCCTGGCCATCCCGATCGACACGGTCTACAAGAACGTAGAGAGCATCATTTCCAAAGGCGGAGCGGATTCTGTTGGAGACATTTCTAAAGTGCAGGACGGACTCAACAGTTTCTGAGATAATCCCTCCCTCCGGCAGACATGCAGCGTGACCACAATCATGACAATCGCTGTAGCTCCAAGGATAGACCCAGGAAGTTGAAAAAGAGATTGTCAATAGTCGATCATGTAGCAGGCTTCGTAAAGCGCCCCTTGCTTGGCATTGTCTTCGCACCAGACGAGTCTCGGCAGCATCACTTGCTATTCGTGAGCCAAGCTAGCGGCGATTTCGAGTTTGTTCTTGATTCAATTTTTTTTCTTGTTTTGGGGCTGGTGATTCTAAGCTTCAGGGACATCGCAAGCCCTCAGCTTGCTCTGCCACTGTCGGTGAACCTCTCGGTGGGTCACGAAGCGACTCCTGGCCTTGTCAGGTTGGTTTATGAAAGGCGCCTCCCCCCCGTAAACCCTAAACCCTAAACCCTAAACCCCAAACCCTAAACCCTAAACCCTAAACCCCAAACCCTAAACCCTAAACTGTTTTCCCCCCAAAAAACTCGAAAAAAGATTGAGAGTTCAAATCAAGCCGTGCTCCCCCTTCCCGTGAGAAGCCTCCTTTCGGTTCCCAAAGCCCGAGGGTGGAGTTTAGGGTTTAGGGTTTAGGGGTTTAGGGGTTTAGGGGTTTAGGGGTTTAGGGGTTTAGGGGTTTAGGGTTTGGGGTTTAGCGTTTAGGGTTTAGGGTTTAGGGTTTAGGGGTGTTTGTACGCCGAACAAAACAAGCAAGAAGCCCTTGAGGATCTTCACAAGGTTGCAGGTCCCTTTGTGGGCCTTGCAATTTTCGTTGTTGCTTTGTGTCCGAGAGACTCTGGGGGGGGGGGGTGTGTGTGAGCAAAACCGGGTCTATTTAGAAGCTGGGGCTTGTGATTTATAATACAGGTCCATATACCTAAATGTAATAAACCTAGAAGAGCACGGCTTCTAAATAGACCCTACGGTCGGATTTCAAAAGGACGTTAATAATTTTAATAATTTTTAACAATTTTAATAGTTTTAATAATTTTAATAATTTTAATAATTTTAATATTTTTAATAATCCTGAGAGGCTCCCGGAAAATTAAAATTATTAACAATATTAAAATTATTAAAATTATTAATTTCTGCCCTGAGAGGCTCCCGGAAAATTAAAATTATTAAAATTATTAAAATTATTAAAATTATTAATTTCTGCCATGAGAGGCTCCCGGAAAATTAAAATTATTAAAATTATTAAAATTATTAAAATTATTAAAATTATTAAAATTATTAATTTCTGCCCTGAGAGGCTCCCGGAAAATTAAAATTATTAAAATTATTAAAATTATTAAAATATTAATTTCTGCCCTGAGAGGCTCCCCGAAAATTAAAATTGTTAAAATTATTAAAATTATTAAAATTACTAAAATAATTAAAATTATTAAAATTATTAAAATTATTAAAACTATTAATTTCTGCCCTGAGAGGCTCCCGGAAAATTAAAATTAATAAAATTATTAAAATTATTAAAATTATCAAAATTATTAATTTCTGCCCTGGGAGGCTCCCGGAAAATTAAAACTATTAAAATTATTAAATTATCAAAATTATTAAATTATTAAAATTATTAATTTCTGCCCTGAGAGGCTCCCGGAAAATTAAAATTATTAAAATTATTAAAATTATGAAAATTATTAAAATTATTAAAATTATTACAATTATTAAAATTATTAAAAATATTAATTTCTGCCCTGAGGGGCTCCCGGAAAATTAAAATTATTAAAATTATTAAAATTATTAAAATTATTAAAATTATTAAAAATATTAATTTCTGCCCTGGGGGGCTCCCGGAAAATTGAAATTATTAAAATTATTAATTTCTGCCCTGAGGGACTCCCGGAAAATTAAAATTATTAAAATTATTAAAATTATTACAATTATTAAAATTATTAAAATTATTGAAATTATTAAAATTATTCAAATTTTAATTATTAATGGTTTCATAATTTTAGTAATTTTAACAATTTTAATAATTTTAATAATTTTAATAATTTTAATAATTTTAATAATTTTAATTTTCCGGGAGCCTCTCAGGGCAGAAAATAATAATTTTAATATTTTTAATAATTTTAATAATTTTAATAATTTTAATTTTCCGGGAGCCTCTCAGGGCAGAAATTAATAATTTTAATAATTTTAATAATTTTAATAATTTTAATTTTCGGGGAGCTTCTCAGGGCAGAAATTAATAATTTTAATAATTTTAATAATTTTTAATAATTTTAAAAATTTTTAATCGTTTTAATAATTTTAATTTTCCGGGAGCCTCTCAGGGCAGAAATTAATAATTTTAATAATTTTTATAATTTTAAATGTACTTTTTAAGCTTAGAATCAGTAAAAACTGAAAATTTGCTCAAAGAATCCTACAACATAGTAAAAAATCGCAAAAATTGACCAATTTTGGGGGCCCGTGTAGTATAAAATCAAATAAAAAGCGGTACGTGAGAATGCCTTCAGATGCAGGAGAAAAGAGTACCCAGAAACCGCGGTATCATCTCCAAAAAATGACAAAAACACACCGTACTCTCCCACGCGATCCTACGCGCTATCCTGCATTCCTTCCTCTTTGTCTTTGGTTCGGAAAAGAAAGGAACGGCTACCAGCCTCCCTCCCGACTTACATCTTTACATTCTCTTGTTTCGTCCTGCTCACCCGGAAAGAAGGTCTGCCTCCAGTCTTTCCTCGCCTCCCTGCTCACTATTATGAGTTCCTTTCACTTCTCTTCTGTTGCTTACATTCTTCTCAAAAGTGTGAAAGGTGCGGGGGACATCCCTTTCACTTTGTCTCTTCTGGGGAAATTCCCAATTGCAGGAGGCTCTCTCTCCTTGTCTTTGTTCTGTGTTCATATAGGGAATGAAGATAGAAGATGAATAAATAAGAAAGAATCAAGTCTATAATGTCCTCTATCCGTGTCTCTTGTGATTTCTTCAATTCCTATCTCTGCAGATTCTTCAAAATGGAAGGCGGACTTCTTCCTCCAACCAAAAGCGACCTTCTCAAAAAGAAGACAAGAGACGAACATCAATCACCGGAACCTGACTCCTAATCTCCTGTGTTTCCTTGCCTCTTTCCTCGCTATTCTCTCTTCCTTTCTTCTCTCCCGGTGCTTACATTCCCATCAACATGAAAATTGAGGGGGCAGCGCATCCCTTTCCTTTCCCCATCAAAGAAAGGCTGCCTTCCTATCCGCGTATGTTCTTCCCTCTTCCTTCCGAAAAGACTATAAGAGGTAGGGGTAAACAGAATGAAAGAGGAGTCTCCTGTTGCTTTCCGACTACCTTCTCACCACAAAAAGGAACCTTCCCACTCTTCCCTACTTTCTTTCTTTTATCTTTTTGCACTTTACGTTTCCCGCTGAGAAAATGAGACGTTTCCCACTGAGAAAATGAGACAATGATGACAATAAGGAAAAAAGATCACCTGCCTGTATTTTCAGACCTGTCCGCTGCATCTTTTCCCTTTACATCGCAGATTGAAGGAAAGCAAAAAAGTCAGAGGGAAGAATCCCTTTCCCTACCTTTCCCAGTACATTCCTTGTGCTTTCCATGTTCTTTGGAATTGCTTTGTTCTTCAGCAAGGAAAAGCGCAACTTCCCTCTCAATTTCATGTTTCCATTTCTCCGATGTCTTTTTCATTCAAGAAGCAAGCGGAGGGGCTGCCTCCTGTGTTTCCTTGCCTCTTTCCTCGCTATTCTCTTTTCCTTTCTCTTCTCTCTTGGTGCTTACATTCTTATGAAAAACGTGAAAGTTGTGGGGGCATCCCTTTCGCTTTCTCTCTTCTGGGGAAATTCCCAATTGCAGGGGGCTCTCTCTCCTTGTCTGTCTTCTTTTCTCATACATAGGGAAAGGAGAAAGAAGATGAAGAACTAGGAAAGAATCATTTCCACACATTCCTCTATTCCTACTGTCCGGAGATTGGCAAGCTTTCGGAAGCTCTGGTCTCTAGTCACGCCTGACCAAAGTCAACTTCCCGTGCGTGAGGGCCATATGTGAGGGGCCAGGAGGGGGGCAGAAAGTCCGGAATATGGTAGTGTTTCGAGTTTCAAATTCGTTTCCATAGTTTCAAATTAGTCTCAAGTCAGTTTCAAACTAGTTTCAAAATCCAGTTGAAATATCGCTGTTAAGGAGGAGCTGCAATTTCTGTCCGCGCTTGTTGAAAACCAGAACCTCTAGAGATTCCTGCATTTTTTGCAATTGCGCGTAGAAAAACGCAGTTTCCCCTTAACAACGAATTCGCAACTGGATTTTGAAACTGTTTTGCAACTAGTCTGAAACTACAGAAACGAATTTGAAACTTGAAGAACGCAGCATTTCTGCTCCCTGGCGCTTGGCCACGCCCAAGCAAGAGGAGGCTAGAAGCCGCGGCTCGCGAAACCAGCAACAACTCTTGCCAAGGCAGCCACGCAATCACAAGTCAGTAAATTATCTTGTCTGAGACTGTGTCTCTTCTGAGTTGTTCTATTCCTTTCTCTGCATCCTTTCTTCTTCTCACTTGTCCTTTCACTTTTCTTTTGTCTCTTCTCACTCCAACCAAAAGGGAAATCGCAAGGGAGTCATATAGGGAAAGGAGACAACGTGAAGAAATAAGAAAGAATCATTTCCATATTGTCCCCTATTCCTGTCTCTAAATCTGCAGATTTTTCAGAATGGAAGGAGGGCTTCTTTCTCCCTCTCACTTTTCCTTTCGCTTTTCTTTATATTTTCTCACTCCAACCAAGCAGACAAGGGAGAGGGGTGAGAGATAGAACGCCCTTTACCTTCTCAAAACATAGAGAGGTGACGAAAATCAATCACGGAAACCTATCCTGCCTTCCTTCCTCTTTGTCTTTGGTTCGGAAAAGAAAGGAACGGCTACCAGCCTCCCTCCCGACTTACATCTTTACATTCTCTTGTTTCGTCCTGCTCAACCGGAAAGAAGGTCTGCCTCCAGTCTTTCCTCGCCTCCCTGCTCACTATTATGAGTTCCTTTCTCTTCTCTTCTGTTGCTTACATTCTTCTCAAAAGTGTGAAAGGTGCGGGGGACATCCCTTTCACTTTGTCTCTTCTGGGGAAATTCCCAATTGCAGGAGGCTCTCTCTCCTTGTCTTTGTTCTGTGTTCATATAGGGAATGAAGATAGAAGATGAATAAATAAAACAGAATCAAGTCTATAATGTCCTCTATCCGTGTCT